ACTTATATATAATATATTTATAGTAACGTTTTTTATATGTTACTATATATAACATTTTTTGTAATGCATAAAAATATCAAAGAAGAAGGAACAAGGTTGGGCCATGTATCTAGTCAAATATGGACAAGGAAGATAAACAAGAAAGATGAGAATATGAGAAGAACATGTAGGTAAAAATGACATTTAATATTATTGTATAAGATTAATTTAAAAATTTAAATCTCAACTATTCATTTAATTATTTATATATCTGACCATATTTTTTTTTCATTGATAAACTACATAAAAATCACACTTTATTTTATTGGTTAACTGATGAATTACAAAAAACCGATGTACACCATAGATTTTGCCATATTTCATTATTCAACACCATCAAGTAATACTTCATGGAAAATTACAAAAACATACTCAATAATTTTACAATACAAATTAAAATTACTTTTTTATTATTATATAGTGACAGCCAAAACTGACACTATCAATAATATTTTTAAAAAAGAAACTAACCAACATATAACACTTCTAATAAAAATATTTTTTAAAACAAATTTTATAAGTAATGATAGCCAATGTCGATACTAAAACTAAAAATGTAATATTTAATAAAAACATAATGTGTTTTTCTTTTGTTAAGATTTAAACTAATGACAAAAATCACTACTATAATGTATAAATTGAGACGACAAAAAATATACCAACTATGACAATCTTTGATCGTCGCTATTTGGTCGATGTTATGTGGAGGATTCTTGTAGTGACCTTTATGATTATAATATTTTGATTATCTTATTGAATTACAACCATTATTCATAACAATGTATTATATCGTGAATAGTAGTAGAAACAGATTAGACTAGGTTAAGTTTTGGCAGTTTTAAGTCTGACTTACAACAAAATTGCTAAGCTTGGATTTGGTCTGTCTACATGTTATGGGTTTTATTTGAAGGCTTAGTTTAACTTGTTTGAAAGATTGAAGTAATCTAAAAGTCTGTTTTGTAATCTGTTTTATACAAGACTTGTAAATATGTCTAATTAATACGCCTAAATATTAAATATATTATTATTATTATTAATTATATATATTAAAAATTAAAATTAACTATAAATTGATATAATATTGTTTTATATTTTAAATTGATTGGTATATGGATCTACTAAGATTTTTAAAAGCTTAAAACTTGATTTTTTAGTTAAAAGACTTTCTAAAAGGTTTAACTTTTTTAATAAACATGTTAGAGTACGCGCCCTTAATAAGTTATTTGATTTATTTCCACTCTCGTAATCATAAAACCTAATCAACTTATTTTTTTATTATTATTTATGTTTAAGTCTGGTGTACACTAGTGGAAAATCAATCTTATACGTGATTGCGCATTTTCTTGTCAGTTATAAAAATATCCAATGTAAAAAATACGCGGTGGCATTTTTAAAATTAATCTAAACTTTTTTACATTGAACCAAAGGGGTCCGATGTAAAAACTAAAATCTACGTCGGATATAAAGTAAAGTCTGATGTAGATTTTAATTTTTACGTCGAATCCCTTTTAGCCCGACGTAAAAAGTTATTTTATTCCCCCCAACGCTTTCGTCTTTTTCGTGCACGCAAGTGTTTTTTCATTGTTTTTCTCTAGGGTTTTCCTCTAGCAATTTTCGACAATGGTGGTATGAGACCTTTGAGTGTTTTTCTGTCACGGTGAGCGGCGACGACAACAGTGAGCGGCGATAACAACGGTGAGCAGCGATGACAACGACGGTGAAACTCATTTTTGATTCTGAACCTATTTCTCTGATTGGGTTAAAACATTTATGCGTTTTCATGGATTGAGATTAATGCTTTCATGCGTGTATTGATCTTTTTGTGTAAAAATGTTTTTTTATTCCTGCACATGAATGTTTTGACATTGTTTTCCTCTTCAACGATTTTTAGCGACAGAGGTGTGAGACCTTTGGGCGTTTTTCGTTCACAATGCACGATGGCAGCAAGACCCATTTTTATTTTGGACTTATCTCTCCGATTAGATTGAAGCATTTGAGTATTTTTAATTTGGACGTGTTCATGGATTGAGGTTATTTTTTTGTTTGTCTGTCAACCATTTTACGTCGGACGTGGAGGATGTCTGACGTAATTTTACGTCGGCTAAAACACCAGACGTAAATTTACGTCTCCCACATTAACGTCGGATAATTTTTCGACATAAAAAGTCTAAAATAACACATAAAATATCTCTTTTGTACTAATACATGTTTTCTCGTGAAAAAAATTAAAAAAAGAATACTATAGCATGGACTAGCTAGACTTGTAGAATCTATCCTTCCTTGTCGTATTCACTTTTATCTCTTTTGTTTATTTAATTACAATGACAATTCTGTTGTACATCTTGAGCAATTGTTCGAAGTCACTTTGGCACTTTTTAGTTTTTTCGTTTTTATATTTATATCTTCCTATTATTTAGGTAAAAGTGTAATATCCTTGATGTACATCTTGTGCCTATATGATATAGAGCATGTTTACATGACAAAATTACTTTGTGAGAGTTTATTTACTAAAAAAAACCCTTTATTTATTATTAGCAATGTTATATCTTAAAGCAAATGTCTAGCTAGCTTAAAAGAATCAAAATGGATTATATATAATTCTACCATTATGTAAAAGTAAAGTAATCATGATACGTAAAAGGAGAAACAAATAAAAGGGAATAATATAGA